GATTTCCTTGTCTGATCTTGAGACTTACTTCTCTTATAAGGGCTTTTGGATTTCCTCCTCTCTTTTGACTTGCTTCTAGTTGTCTTCTCTTTGATTCCGTCAACTCCTACCTTGCCTTTCTTTTTGTCAGATCTGTGCCTAGTCCTTTCTTTTGATTCACTCTTACTTCCTTTCTTGGAACTAGTTTTATTGTCCACAGGTTCTAATTTCCCCTTAGTGTTTGACTTAGCTGTAGGTCTCGTTCCATTTCGCACTTTTTCATTAATTTCCCCCTCTTCTTCAGATCCTGACTCATAACCTTGTAATATTAATCCCATCCCAGACTGGACTTTTCCTTCCATTAATTCATTTTCAAGTTCAGCTTTCAATAATGCTCTTTGTTTCTCCAAGTCTTCCAGAGGAGCTAAAAAATCAATTTTAGTTCTTTTAGCTGGTCCATCTTCTTTGTCAGAGGTATCAGCTACCTCTTTCCGTTTATGTTTCTTATGTTTGTGTCTGTGTTTATGTTTTTTGTCCTTATCTTCTTCTGAAGAATGTTTATGTTTCTTGTGTTTACTTCGGTGTTTGTGTTTCTTTTTTTTGTGTCGGCTGTGCTTGTTCTGAGGTTGGTCTGCTTCTGATACTTCCCCATTTTCTTCATTTACACTTTTCTCGGATGCATCAGCATCCTCAACCCTGCAAAAATTAAAACTAGAGATCAGTACTATTAACTCACTGCAGTCCGTAGTCTTGTGTTGACAGTCTTTTTTATGATAGAAACTAACTGGCATTTAATTACCTACCTTTGGGACAATTAAAAATGTACAACTAATGTAACTAAGTTATAACTGCAGATACACTTCATGAACAGACAGCTATGAGTTGAAAAAGAAATACTATGGGAGGAAGATACAGCAACTGCACTAACAAAACAAAACGTGTGGGTGAAATCAATGCTTACGCTTTTACGTTCAATATTGACAATATCTGTTGACAGTATTCAATAGTGCTGCATATTCATGCATCCTGTCAGTCCACCATCTCTCTTATTTGCTACTCCAATCCAAGCTATGACTTTTAAAAGTATTTTCAAATGGCAGAACACAGTTGTGCTCCAAAGATCAAAACTTATTTCAAGGGATGATGCTGACTACCTAATGAGACCACCTTGCCACATCTCACACAGTCGACCGATTCTCTGAACTGCAATTTCTTTCTGTAAGTGTACGCACCTGTTAGAAAAATCAAGAACTGTTCTTACCATGCATTTATAGTATTTCTGCAATACAAGGAACACTACTGAGGAACAGGACAAATTCAGAGAGTCTAATTTCAGAAAAGCTTTCTGAGACTATACAGCAGACTATCAGCTTCCCAAGAAAAAAGCAGTAATCTTTAGGCCTGTAAAATGGCATTGGCCGAAAAAGCAGAACATAAGTCTACAGGAAGTTATTAAAATAATAATAATGTACAGTGTTTCTTCTAAAAAACCATAATCATTTCAGTTAGCTAGTCACAGCAATAAGCAATTTAAACAGTGTACTTAATAACTTCAAAAATTATAATGTTATGCACTCACTTATATTACCTTACTTAGATGCTGAAACTGGCTTACCAATTGGTTTTTTAGCGTTTAGCAAATACCTCCTAATCTCTTTCAGAACATCAATTAAGTTACTGTCTGTGGTAAGAAAGATATTTGCCTTTTGAAATCTGTTGCCAAATATTATAGGTGCCAGAGTTCACCTTTCTACAAACTCACCCCATCTAAACTACAGTTTCAGAATTTACTAGCTAACGCTTTAATAATTTAAACATAGGTTTTTCTGTATCCCAAGCCTCATTCATTGAAAAGAAATTCCCTAAACATGATGGTCAGGAGTGGTGGGGGGATGTACACAGAAATGTAGAAATATCTTCTGAACTCTACTAGTTTCATATGAAGGTTGTTTCTGAAGAATATAATCAATGACCCAATAGAATAAATATATCAGAGGTATTCTAAGCCAGGCCTAAAGGGTGGCACTTCACTATAAATCAATTAGCATCTTCCTAATTAAGGACAGGATCTTCAAACAGCACACAGTTACTAATTCTCTCCTGCTTGAGTTAATGCAAAATCTAGTACTAGTAAATAGTCCAGACTTTTCTGCAACATACAATAAAATTATTTGCTAAAACCATTAACACTTTAGTGCTCTGAAATGAGAAAATTCCTAAGGGAACAGACTGTTTGGGTTAAAAATATGCTATATTCACAGACTTAAGTCAGAATGCTTTATGCTTTTTCTTTTAAATCTGTCCTGGTTTCAGCTGGTATGGTGTTATGTCTTGGATTCAGTATGAGAAGAATGTTGATAACACACTGATGTTTTCAGTTGTTGCTCAGTAGTGTTTAGACCAAGTCAAGGATTGTTCAGCTTCTCATGCCCAGCCAGCAAGAAGGCTGGAAGGGCAAAACAATTCGGGAGGGGACACAGCCAGGACAGCTGACCCAAAATGGCCAAAGGGGTATTCCATACCGTGTGGTGTCATGCCCAGTATATAAACTGGGCGGATTTGGCCTGGGGGGGGGGAATCACTGCTCAGGAACTAACTGGGCATTGGTCAGCGAGTGGTGAGCAATTGCACTGTGCATCAACTGTTTTGTATATTCCAATTCTTTTATTATTATTATTATTGTAATTTTATTATTGTTGTTATTACCATTATTATTTTCTTCCTTTCTGTCCTATTAAACTGTTCTTATCTCAACCCACGAGTTTTACCTTCCCCCCCTCCCCCAATTCTCTCCCCCATCCCACTGGGTGGGGGGGAAGTAAGTGAGCAGCTGCTTTGTGCTTAGTTGCTGGCTGGGGTTAAACCATGACAACATCCTTACCGCTACTTCTGCTTACTCAAAGCATATAGAAAGAAAGGTGTTTTTCTTAATTGCTTCTTCCTGACACTCCACATCATTAAGACAACAGAATATCAGAAAGAAAGAGGCCAAAATGCCTTAAAATTAGTTTGCTCTATGTTCCATTTGGCACAAAAGACATGAAAAGAAGGAAAAAGTATTAAGTGTAAAACTTTTTAACTTTTTCAACTTAGGTTTGCAATGCAGAGCAAGTACATCAGTGACGTAAGTTGGCTAAAGGGCAGAGAAATGTCACAAGGAGAATTTTAAGGGAACTATGCATCTTTCAAGATTTCTTTCAGTCAGATAGAGGATGCTGTATAAGTCCCTGATTAACGCATTAATGGTACTTCAATACATTACAAAAATGTTACAGGACAACAAAAATCACACCCATTTAAGTTGCTTCAGATAAGTCTTCCTTCTCTTAATAGCAGTAAATGACACTGAAATCTATAAGGAAGTTATTTTGTTATTGTTAGGTGTTTTAATGTTATGTAATAACCTCACCTTCCATTCTGTAAAAGCAAACTGGTAGCAGAGGTGCCAGATGAGATACCTCACCACAGCAGTATCTCAGGCCACAACAGACTGCTAACACAACTGCCAGCTTTCTTTGCTTTTGTACCTCAACTACAAAATTACTATTAACTTCATTAATATGCATTAAGTATTTCAGAGTTTCTTCATGTACAGGAATCTGCTTATTTCAAGTAATTCTGTGGATAAACTTTTACTTAATTTAAATGCTTCAGAGGTGTAATGACATGGATGAGAAACCTTTTAAGAAGATTTCAGAAGGTGACGAGGCAGATGAGTATCTACATGTTTAGGTGATAATGGCTTTAATTGGAGAGGAACTGTGCTGCGATCTTGTTATAGCCCCACTTTTTCTTACTTTTGAATTCAAGCAGAATGATAGGAAGTTCATGAAGATTTGCAAAGAGATTTCACCCATCTTTTCCTACATTCAGGCTTCCTATCATCAGGTTTTACCTTATTACGCTTAGTTATGTTTCTCTATGCAATACTAAACTCTCCTCTTCGTCCGCTCCTGCATTTTACGTGGTTCACATGTACATCCACTGCTTCTCCTCACCTGTTTTCTACTCCCACGATTAACAAGCAAAAAACCCAAGCCTCAAACTGCAACTTTTTAAGGCAGAAAAAATATAGAAAGCGGTTTATATGGCCAAAACATTTATATAGCAAAGAGGAGCAATAAAGTAAGCCTTAGGATGTCAACTCTGGGCAAAAGTTCCAGAAAAGAAAGCGTTCACGAGCTCGTGAGCGCCGGCAAACCCAAATCTCACGACGCTAAGCGGGGTGCCAGGAAAGCGCACCCCCGGAGCCCCGGTCCGGCGGGGAGGCGGCGGCGGCGGCTCGATCTTCGCTTCCCAACGGGAGCCGGGAGTTGCCAGTCATTTCGAGGGCTGGAAGGAGGGGCTGGCGGCAACAAATCGCTTTTTGCTTCCACCAGCGCAGGCACTTTTTATAACGCGAGAGCGCCCGGGACTCGGGGGGAGGTGGGCTCGCCGCAGGGCGGGCAGCGGCTCGGCGGCAGGGCAGCCCCGAGGCACCCGGTGGTCCGGCTCCCCCCTGCCCCGCTCGTCCGGGGCGGCCTCGCTCGGACGGAGAGCCGCGGGGATCCCGGGCAGCGCCGGACCGCCGTCGCCTCAGGGATGCCCGAGCTCTGGGCGCCACCGGGCACTCGCCCGGCCCGGGAGGGCAGCGCCCGCGCAAACACGCGGAGGACGAGGAT